TGACCTTAACCTTAGCAAAAGGTCCAACATTCTTTCAAACCAAGGAAATCAGAAGTATGTGGAAATATATCTATGCATACAAGTATCATGAATATACCAAAGTGTGACGATGATAATATAAAAAGATTCAAATGATAAACTTTGCTCTAGTATTGTCAAAAACTTTCATCCTAAAATCTAAAAATTTATTTTAGTCACTAGCATACAACAAGACTTTGAAGTAAGACTATTACTTTCAGAAAAAACTTCTGAAAGGAGCACAGGTGTAAAATAATATGACATATATATGATATATAATATAAAATAATATACACATATAAAATAATATATTGATCATTATACGTCAGTGTGTCTTGGGGTCACACAAGTGTTACAATCATGTTACAGGAGAGTGATTTTCAAGTGAGGCATTTTGAAGCAATTATAAGAGAATTTACTTTGGATTTAATAATTTCTAAGTATTGTAGGAAGTTCTTAAGATTCAATCTGGACATGGATTATAAACAAAATTTCAACACAGTATAATGTGCAGGACAAGGGAGCTGTACTTAACATTCTGAATATCAAGCTACGAATGAAAGGTGAAATAAAATTGTTCTTTTTAAAATATAAAAATGAATGCATTAGGTTTACTACATAAATACACATGCCAAGCTTTGCCTAGGTCCCAGCTTCTTACGCTGTGGAATTAATGAATCACAAAAGTCTGATAATGGTAAAAGGTTTTGAACACCGGTAACTCTGCCCACACTGACACAAACACACACACACACACACACACACACACACACACACACACACACACACAGAAAATCAAAGTCAAAATCACAGTGGAGCACAGGTATTTCTGGCACACTTGCCCAAGTGACATCTTATGACATCATGGCAACCATGCTGTTGAACGCACAAGAGGCATGCTTAGTACTCCACATGCCTTTGCTTCAGGCAACCAGAGATTTCAAATGCCTCATGTTGAATTTAAGACCATTGTATGTTTACACAGAGGGTTTTTACTGTCCATACACTTTTTTTAAACTATCATAAAAACATAACGGTTTAGTTATAAAAAAGACTTAATATTTTCCTACTATCAGTCCTAGACATGAAAATATTAAATTAGTGTATCTTTGCATTATAAAGTCTTAGAATGTTTGATTTTTACAAATAGCTGTTTGAATTACTGACTAAAATTGCATTAAACATGTTGAATGAATTTTGGGTTGGGAAAAATTTCCAATAATTTCCAAAGTAGGCCTCAACATTCTTTTCCATTCTGCACTATGTATCTGTGTAGGGTGGTGCTATGAGTATTGAAGTCTATAAGGTCAGAATATGATCAATTCCGAAAAACACTGAAGATGCTCCCCATGCAGCAGTGTCATCCAAGCAATATTATTTATGTATATAAAAATTAATAAGCACATCTCTCGTTAGGATGCAAATTGCTCTTTTCTTAATGTAGAAATATGTGTATAACAAAAATTTCTTTAAAATATCTTTTAATATATATTAATCAGTAAAATGTGATCTGTATACTAATTTAATATACACATACATCCCGAACTCAGTATTATACTTGGGCAAAACTGGTTATAAGTGGAAAAAGCTTAAGAAGCCTTGCTCTTAACTGTACTGGCCTGGGCCCCCTTTCCATATACTTAAGAAAAAAAAATAATAAATGTTTATCTAATTCTAACTCTGTTCTGGTGTGTGTGTGTGTGTAGTGGGTAGGTGTATAAAAATATATTTGGTATTAAAAGAATAAAATCCAGCCGGGCGGTGGTGGCGCACGCCTTTAATCCCAGCACTCGGGAGGCAGAGCCAGGCGGATCTCTGTGAGTTCGAGGCCAGCCTGGGCTACCAAGTGAGTCCCAGGAAAGGCGCAAAGCTACACAGAGAAACCCTGTCTCGAAAAACAAAACAAAAACAAAAACAAACAAAAAAAAAGAATAAAATCCAATGTGAGGCTCCACCACTCCTGTTGTAAATGGTCACTCTTAATTGTATAGAAGTTCACTGAGTTGTATCTTTGCGTCTGGTTAATTTTGGTATGTGGATTTTATTATTACTTGCAATTTTTTATCATAAAGTTTAAAATAAAGTAAATAATATTATACTCATCCTACCAAATTCCATGGGGGAAAACAATTGAAAACATACTTAATATGTAAGTTATTCTGAAGACAATTAACATTATTAGTAAACTTGCTTCCCATTTATGAAAATGGTATTATGTATCATGACTTATTTGTATATTATTTTTTAAAAAATGTTTTATCAGCTGAGAATGAAATTTTGTGGTGGGGAGTTTACCTAAAGCCCTTGTTTTGATGCTCAGTAATATAAGAAAAATGTTTTATGGCACTTATAGCAAATGTTTTAGAGTTTTTTAAAGCAATGTCTAGATATTTGGGTTCCTGGGTGCTATTATAAACGGTATCATCTTTTCAAAAATGATGTATTTATTAATAGTGTGTATATGTTTATGTCTGAGTATGTGTGTGCCCATGTGTGTATGTGTATGTCTGAGCATATGTGTGTGCACAGAAACGAGACAGATATGCACAGGGCCTGAGCATGGGAACAAGTCCAGCCATGGGAGCTAGGACATTTGTGACCTCTTGACAGTCCCTCCACTCCACAGTGCACCCACCATTTGACCCACTGTATTGCAGTTTGGTTTCTTCTTCCCAATTCTTGCCCACATACCCGCTAGAAATACTTTCTTTGTATTTCTCAGAGCTTCCACCTCCAGACAAATGTTCCCAGGCTTTCATCTCCTTAAAGAACATACACTAAGTAGTCACTGTGTTCCAGGCCAACCAGAGGTTTTAGGAGAACATGAACAGCCAGCCACAAGATGGCCTGCACAAGTAGAACGCCCAGTGTCTCCACTAGAGCAATACTTTCCTAAGCAAGAAGTAGCTGTAACTGGGAAGGGTTTAACAAGTCGGATTAGACAACCTCACTGTGTGTGAAAGCTAAGGTCCACAAGGATCCAATAAAGCAGGCACATTAATAAGCAGTATCTCGTGAATGATGTAGCTGTGCTGAACCTGAATCCTTACAGCTTGAGCTTCCTCACATCGCTCTGCTGTGAGCAGGCCACAGTGAAGACTTAACCTGGGTGCTGTGGCTACCCAAGAATGGCACAGAGAGCTTCCCCACAGCAAGCTCCTTGCTGTGTCATGCTTTCTCTTAAGCTATAGTGAATGAACATTACCGATTTACGCTGTGTTTGTTATGAATGAGTACCACTTCCGTCAATTTATATGGATCTTTGTATACCGTCTCATTTGAAACACCTCTACCACTTAAAATAATGTGAAAACTACAATTCCGAGAAGGATTGCTGGTACAGTAAGGTAGCTACAAAGTGTTTAAAAATGAGAATGAAAATTGATACTCAAAGAAAGAAATAACTCCTCTAAAATAAGAACAAAAGCATTATGCACAGGGTATAAACTAAAGCTTTAATAAAAAGCAAGGTGTAGGAAGGAACTTTTTTTTTATCATTTTCTGACTGTGTTTCTCCTTTACAGGTAACACAGCTATGGTATAAGCTCTGCAATAAGGTTAAATAGGCTTGAAAATGTTTTTTAACAGGCCACATATTCATCAGGAGATGAGAATTTCTAGGGCTACCTCTAATTAGATCACCATTTCCCCAAACTTCCAAGAAATACCACTCTAGTGTTATGTGTAGACAGAGACCATAAAATGTTGAATGAATAAATAATTAATGAATGAAATATATCTGTAATATCTCTGTTCTATTCAATGACCTTTCACATAAAAATTAATGCAATAATGTGGATGATGATCGAGATTGTGGCAATATATTTGCCAAATGCACAGGTTACCTCCACAGTCACACAAAAATCTGCTTTTTGAAGAAATCTCCAAGTTCAATACAGATATCCTAATACTCAATAGAAGGGGACTTTGTATTTCTGTATCATGGTATAGGTGGTGTGTGGCAGTCAGAGTGGAAAGCTTCAGCCCGAGGGGGAATCCTTTCACTAACACAGGTACCACTCAGTTGCCTATAGTCCATCTATCACAGACTGCCAAAGAGGTCAAGCTCATGTTCCTCTTCTCAGGCAGCTTGACCTGGCCACAAGCTCTATTTCCCATTCTACTGTCACCATGCCTCTCTCCATGCACCTCGCTAGCACCTCTCAGTCGCCACAGATGCCAGGGAGTGAACTGAACAGATCTCCAAAATGCTTTCAGCACTAAAAAGCAACTGCCACCTCCTCTTGGAATAGGCACCGTGCAAACCGACACCGAGACGCCTCGTCAAGCACACCTGAGATTCGGGACTAGGTCTGGGCCCAGAAACGTCCTTTTCTACGTTCCCCCAAGGCTGCTTTATTTACCTCTCCAGTCAGTGCTATAAAAGACTCAAGGACTAGTGGTGAAATCGCACTGTAAAAGGCAGAAAGCACGTCTTACACCATCTTCACTGTCAAACAAATGCTTTCGCTCCAAGTCAAGGTCGTACCACAGACTTGTTCAACAGTGGATTGCTCCCCATAGACTCTAAATGTGAGCAATGAAATAAATACCCAAAATATGGGAAAAAAGATTATAAACCTAAGCATTACGATTATAAAAACAGAAGTCTGTATACAACTTTATCGTGTGGAAGTACGCCATCATCAGTGTGTCCACACACACAACACCCTATGTAAATAAGGGCTGTGCTATAAAGGCATCAGTGTGGTTGGCCAAATATAATACAGAATCGAGGGGCAAATGAAGGAGTTCTCCGTGGAACGAAAGGGGTACATTAAGAAAATCTATCACTTGCCTTCTCAGTTTTACAGTGAAGCTAAGACCGCTCTGAGAAATGTCTGTTTTTTAAAACTTGACTGAGATTAGGAATTACATACCTTGCCTAACGTGCACCGCCATTAGAGTATACTAAAACAGATTGGAATAGCTAAGTTCTGCCAGGTTCCAACTGATTATGGCGGCGCTTCTGATCTCATTACCTGTAGTCACACCAAGGGCACCTGTAGGGCTTCTCTCCAGTGTGCACACGCTTATGACGAGTCAAGTGTGACTGGGTTGTAGAGGCAAAGTTACACTCATCGCATTTGAAAGGCTTTTCTCCTGTAACAAGAAACATATTATGAATATTAAAAATATTAAAAAATGAATATTAATTGGAAATAAAGTGTTCAAGCTTAGTATTAACACATAAAAAGCTTATATCTATAAAACATTACAAATATTATTTGATAGATTCCAGAAATTTAGGAAAGCTAGAGGATATTACTGACTTTTTTAAAATTGGCCATTAGCAAGGGACATAATATACTGTACAAACAGGACTCTAGGTTATAAGTAGAGACTAGGACTCTGGAATAATTTTATAAGCCATGATACATGAGAGCCATTCCAAAAACCTCAGTGAAGTTAAAAACATGGCCAATCACACAACAGACATAAAGTTGGATATAAGATGCAAAATAAAAAATTTCTAGCATTAATTATGAAGAAAAATGAATTGAAGCCATTACTGCAATAAGTGTTAGAAGCAAAAGGAATTATAACTATGGGGTAGAAGATACGAAGCCTCCAAAGAACAAATGATGCATTGTTAACTCTATGCTAAGATGTGCAAATAAATCCTAAATCGACAGGGCCAGGGTGGACAAAAGTGGAGCCTCAGGGCTAGCCTGTGACAAAGTATGGAGCTCATCCAACTGGTGGTCTCCTTTACCTTCTCCTCCACACTCACTCAGACAGTTTCCCATTTCACTTGCTACAATGCTTGATGAGCAACTGACTCAGCGCTACTTAATTTCAATGAATATAAATTCAACTTTGAAACAATACAACCCAGCCACTGAAAAAAATGTTTTAATATCACTGGAATAGCTTAGAAATGTGAACCTATTTTTTTTAAGTACAACTTTTATCAAAACTATAGGTTATATACTTTGGATGCAACTTTGCTCTTTGAATAGAAATGTGCTAGAAGCATAAAATGCATGCCAAATAAAAAATCTAAGTACAAAGAGTAAAATAATGCTAATAATGACATAATAATTTTATTTACAAATGATTATCATGATATTGCTGGTTAAGTTAATAATTATAACACCATTTTACCTGTGACTTTCCCCTATTTTGTGGTAGCCAGCAAGCGTGTGTATGTTACATGGCATTTCTACTGACAAGGATGAAACAGTGAACACCTCACTCCTGTGCTCCTCATACAGGTGACAAGGTCGGCAACAGGTTCTTTACCAGGCAATCCTACATCTACAACACATGAATGTTATGTTTCAATGAGCCCACGTGGTACTTCTTATTTTCTAGCTTTTCATGACAGTATTCTACATATACTCATCTATTTAAAACTGAAGGAAAGTTCCTTCCTTTCTGTGTACGTGTCTGGGAACATGTGTTTATGTGTGTAAGTGCCTGTCCACAAGGGATAACTTCTCAGGAGCAACTCTCTCTGTCTACCACGTGGGCTTGGTGGCTAGCACCTACACCTACTGAACCTTCTCATCAGTCTGAATAATAACTGAAGGGCTTTGGCAGGCCTTGCCCTTCTCCCCCATTCCCTCTGCTGTGCTAAAAAATGTTAGATTACATTCCTAAAGGTAGCCACCAAGGTCTATTCCCTTGTTTGGCCTCCTCCTGACTACCAAGGTCCAGTTACCCAACTACTGAAATCCAGCAATCAAAAGGCCCCTTTGCTTCACCTAATTAACATGCCCAATTAAAATTAAACACCCCATCCTAATGCGGAGTTTCCCCTTGTACCTTTATAAACCTCCATTTTCCTATGGGCCACGGCTGTCTCCTCTCTACCCAGAGGCAGTCCTTTGTCCTCCAGGACAATTCCCCTACCTCCTCTTCCTGGCTCCCTTCCCCTCTATCTCCTGACTTTGTCTCTTATTCCCTGCTCTCTGTCCCTTTGGGTTAAAAAAAAAATCTCCTTTGTGTTGACAACTTGGTCTTGGGGTTCCTGAGTCAATACTTATCCTTTCAATAATAATTGAAAGTATTATTAGAGTATTAAAGATACTTATTAATGTACGTTTGCCCCAAAGTGACCTGGTAAAGATACCTATTCTACATTATGTCAGTCTTCTTACATGGCCTCACACATTGTTGTACAAATATTTAACTTATACCCACACATCCTGCTTGACGGTATTTATCTCCCTGGAAGCAGAGAGGTGTGGCTGGGTGAAGCCAGATGGACTGGAATCCTGGTTTTACCCCATCTCACTTGCTAACTGTCAGACCACCTGAGAAAGACCAAGAGGATAATACCACCAAAATGCAGGATAACTGTAAAGATCGCAATGACAGAAAAATAAGAGAAAGAGCACCCTGAGCAGAGACCCGAGCGACCATTGCTGAGACACAAGAGCCACAGCCTTGCCTAGAGAGGAGAGCGGCACCGAAGTGTCTCTCACCACAAGCTGGGTCAGTAGGCAGACAGGTCGTACACAGCACTAACTGGTGGTTTACACACGTAATGAGGAGGACGGAAAGCTACTATGTTGTAGATCTTATCTAGAAATCATTGTATTTGATTTACTCCAGTTTAAAAAAAAAATCAAAGAGCATCTACAAAGCAGAATAAGAGAATGTTTATTTAAAAAGACTTTTCTCTTTAAGATAAATTTCATCTTTAAAACAGGTCTAAAGTCACTCTATGTTCTTCATTCCTAAACCTTTGGTCAAACAACTTAAGGCACAGTAGACAACACGATTAAAATGACTGACAAAACACACACAGATGCAGACACAAGGACACACAAAAGCACTCCTAATAATAACGTACGCTCATCACAGTGCGGGGCTTGATTTAACACAAGGAATGATATACAATATCCATATTGTATGTCTAATGGAAAGTAATATTACCTGTTTAAATTTAATTGAAGAATATTCTACTCCTGGAAATAGATAAATAACTACACAGAAGCATAAGACTAAATATTACGCTTATTTTCAGAGCTGAATTTGTACACTAAAAACAGCACTTTTAATTGAACATCAATGCCAATGTGCAGTATACATGAAAAGAAAGCAGCAGCAAACACATGCTGGTTATCTATCTAATTTGATATCATCTGTATGTGAAACACACAGTATTTCAAAAGGGTGTCATTGGCAATTTTATAGTACATAAACCTAGTTTTTTCAATTGATGAAACCACCAACAAAATTAAGATAATGAACATGATTTGCCCATAAAGGATTCCTTGACCTGCCATACATACCCCTGATTGTTGGAAGCCCAAATCTTACCTGGTTTCTTCTATTATATGATAATCATTATTTTCTAGAATTTTATATAATGAGAATATACAGTATATTTTGTGGGGGATATCTTTTACTACACACAGTTACTGTTTTTTGATTCAGCTACAATGCTAGGACATAAATTATTTTCCCCTTGGGGACTATATTGATTATATCATGGCCTGCTTCTGTTTCTAATTCAGTGGTTCTCAACATGCGGATCGCAAACCCCAGAAGGTCGCATATCAGATATCCTGCATATCAAAGATTTACATTATGATTCATAGCAGTAGGAAAATTAGAGTTATGAAGTAGCAACAAAATAATTTTATGGTTGATGGTCACCACAACATGAGGAACTGTATTAAAGGGTCACAGCATTAGGAAGGTTGATAATCACTGATCTAACTGAAGGACATCTGAGTTTTCTTTTCTTTTTTTTTTTTTTTTTTTTTTTTTTTTTGCTACCACAAGTGAATTTGGAATAAACTCTCAACAACAGGCAAGCCTATTTCTTGGGCATTGCATGGATATATGTTTCCTTTTGTCTTGGGTAAATTTCCAAAAGTGGTATGGCAGTATGAATTTATCCTGGGGTGGATACAAAGTATTTTCTGAAACCATCCACCACTTTACATTTTCTTAACTGCATACCAGAGTGTCCATAATCTGATGTGGTCAGTGCTTTAATCCTGCATTTCCCAATGGACAGCGACATCTTCCCATGTGAAGTTTAATGGCCATTACTTCATACCCTTTAGTGAGTTATCTACTGAAACCATCTGACTTCTTTACTAATTTGCTATTTGCTTACTCAGTGGCATTTTGAGAGTTCTGTTATGCTCTAGATAGAAATCCTGATGACAGCCGGGCGGTGGTGGCGCACGCCTTTAATCCCAGCACTCGGGAGGCAGAGCCAGGCGGATCTCTGTGAGTTCGAGGCCAGCCTGGGCTACCAAGTGAGTTCCAGGAAAAGGCGCAAAGCTACACAAGAGAAACCCTGTCTCAAAAAACAAAAACAAAAAAAAAACAAAAACAAAAACAAAAACAAAAACAAAAAAAAAAAAGAAAAAAGAAATCCTGATGACATTTGTGATCTTAACATATTTTCATCTAGTCTGTGAGTCATTTCCTTCTCACTGCCATTAATGATTACTTTTATATAGAGCTTTTAACTTATTAATTTATAATTTTCATTTATTTGTTCATTTGTAAAGCATGCTATTACCATAATAATAAAACCCAAAGTCACATATATTTTTTATAGAATTTATATACAGTTTAGATTGTGCAATTCTGAGTTAATTTTGTATACAATATGAAGTATGTCTTAAAGTTCATTTTACTGAATATAAATACCCAGTTAATCTAATATTATAAGCTGAATGGTTTAAACTATCTAAATTTCCTTTTAAAAATCAACTGATAACATAGGGATATATTTTGATTTTGTTTCACTGATGAATCCATCTACCTTAATGCTAATATCTGATCGCTCTGACTATTGTAAGTCTGGCCTGGAGGCCAGGAACTCTGTTCTTTCTCAACCTTGCTTGATTATTTCACACTTTTGTATTTTTACAAGAATTTTGAGTTAGTTTTACTGATTTACGAAAGAAGGAGTTTGCAGGGCTCAATGTGGCAGAAGCCTAAGTCTTAGCAATATTAGTTCTATTGATTGGTACTAATGTCATGCATATATACATTATATACATATACAAGTAAACACACACACACACACACACACACACACACACACACACACACACACAAGGAAATGAGTAATTTGTTCAGGAAAAATACAGTAGAGAAAAACATACCTTCATGTTTATCAGTATTACTACATAGCAAAAAGGTTAATCCAAACACCCAAACTGTGAAGAGTCAAAGGAAATCTTAAAAGTTTGAAATAAGAATTTCAATTTATAAAATATTTGATAATTGTTTGAGAATAGAAAGCAGTCTAAATGTGATGTATATGCCTGCTGTGTTAGAGTTTTTCCCAATTTTTAAAAACTAAAATATAATCACATTATTTCTCTCCTCTCTTTCTTCCTGCCAACCTCTCCCAACCTCTCTCATGCCCTCACCATGCCTCTCAAATGCATGGCCTCTTTTTCTTTAATTATTAATTATTGAGAGAGAGAGAGAGAGAGAGAGAGAGAGAGAGAGAGAGAGAGAGAGAGAGAGAGAAAGAGAGAGAGAGAGAGAGAGAGAGAGAGAGAGAGAGAGAGAGAGAGAGAGAATGTGTCTGAGTATGAGGCTAATCCCTTGGTGTTGGACACTCAGGGAGCTCATCTCTGGGGAAGACCAATTCTTTTTCTCCCAGCAGTCCTTAGTTGCCTTAGTTCTTTGTCTAGGGGCGGGGCTTTGTGAGAGATCCTCCTTTCCTGAAGAGGTCTTGTTAAAAGTACTGATGGGAATACTACTACTGACTTGTCTATCATTCTGAAGCCAGAGTTAACTGAGTTAATACAGTAATTATTCACTGACAAGGATAAGTCAACAGGGACTTAGACACACACCAGTTTAAACCCCAGACAACACTGCAGTCCCAGCTACTTGGGTGGGGGAGTGAAAAGGCATCACAAGGGTCCATAAACTCAAGGCCAGTCTATGCAACAGTACTGAAAACCAGAGGGTAGAACAAGGAGAATTTCTGTTGCTCTTGTAACCACACTTAGCAGTTTTCCCTGTGCAGCAGAACTTACCCTACTGGGCTGTTGTTTTCATTTCATAAGTGCTTTCTTTTACAAGCATTAATCTTGCCCAAAATACCCAGTAAGAAACACTTTGCCTCTAAGGCCTTACTGATAGGAAAGGAGAAAAAACAGAGATACCAGGACAGCTTGTTGCCATAGTGCCCTGTCTTTTTGTGTGTCAACCATCTGTCAGACTGGCCAACCCCATCTCCTGGAAATCACACTTCACATTCCTGAGGGTGGACTGGTGGTTATTAAGCTGGCCAGGTCTTCAACTGCACGTGAGGATTGGTGCCTGTGCCCTTGAATCAAGGGTCTCTGACAGGTGATAAAAGTAAATCTCAGAATGGAAGATGCTTCGTGTCAGCCCCGAGACAGCCTGCATTTCAGTCAGGAATTATTTACGCCATGTGGAACACTTTGGATACCTATCCCTTTCTGAACCGCTTGTAATTTGCCTGGACACTGTGGTAAAAAGGTAAACCATGTCAAGACAGACACATCAAAGAAATATAGATTTCAAATGTACCATCAAGTCTAGCCTTGGGGAAAAAGGTGTGCGTTGCTTAAACATTTTAAGTCCAACATAAAAGCTAAGTGCCTAGACTGAGTTGGACTGAGCTGTTTGTGGAGCCAAGTCTCTTAAGAACTGACTTTGGTATTAAAGAATCATGTTTGATTTGTGCCACAGAGGCAGATAAATGCCAGAAAGACAGATACCTCTGTCTCTGAGACATTGTCCTATATGGTATAAAGTTAATAGCAAAGTAATAAGGAGCCTCTGGACCTGACATAAAATATAAAGTTGTGCCGGCTCGATGCAGGCTTCCTGATCGATCCATCACCTGGAACGTCTGCGATCGTAGCATTATGGCTTCCACTGCAGGGCAAGGGGACACTGCTGCTGGAGGGGTGTCACAAGGGGGTCTGCTATCCCCTAGAGCCACATGGGATGGGACAGGAAGGCAGAAATGCCATGGAAATCACAGAACTTTGAATTACCAATGAGCTCAAAACATGAATAAAACACCGTATGACCACATAGTTTCTACATATATATCCAACTCTCTCTCCATCTGCCATACAAGAACAGCTGGTAACCACACAGTTTACTTATATCGAATTCTTACATAGGAATTATATAATGAATGTACAAGTGGTTTATGTTTTTTAAAGTTATACTTTCAACATGTCAGAAATCGAAAATTTACCTTCATTTTAATGTCTATTACCCTATGGAAATTTCATCCCAATAAGCTCAAGATTTAAAAGCAATGAATAGGATTCATTTTCATTGATCCTGAAAATATTATATTGAGAAGTGAAGCTGCCTGTATCTGTATAACATGGCATTTCAAGAATTCCAATGGTCTATAAGTAATATATTTAAATTTTCTTCTTTATTCTCAAGAATTTAATTCACGTAATAAATGCAGTAGGACCATATATACTCTCCACTTTTCCCGAATTCCCACATAGCATCCTAACATGTTCTACTCCAACTTTATGTCTTTTGTTTTTTTAAATAACCTCCTAAGTTCAGTTAGAGTTGCTCATGTGTATGAGCCCATCTGCTGGAGCATGGGTGGAATCCTACCAGGGGCCATACCCTCAGGATGTTTCTCTCCTGACTCAAGGGTGGATCTATGAATTTCACCCCACATGGACTGTGACTGTAAAACTCAACTGTCCCCATGGTCCATAAAGGAAAGTATCATATTTAGCTACCAGTTTGGTTACCATATGAACTTCATTAATAAAGTCTTGATGGCAGAAAAAAGTGGTTCTACTGATATTATAAAAGAAAATTGTCCTGAGACAGTACTATCCTAGACACATGTTATTTAGAATTATCAGAATGACTGTTTTTGAGACCACTTTCTTTTCCTGTATCATGAAAAATGAATAACATGGGATAGGCTATCCTCCACGTCCATATTTATTTCTCATGTTGTGTCTTTGTTGTTACTCTCTCTTAACATCAAGAATAACTGCAACAGCATGGACTCCCCATCACACAGACTTACAGACTGATTGATAAATATAGGAGACAGGCAAAGGGATGGAAGGGGTATAAGCAAGTAGGCAATGGGTAGGGCAGTATGACATAGGGAGAGAACAGAGAGGGCCCAACACGGGCTTTCCAGGACCCAGGCATGAGGGTAAGACAGAGCTTTGCAAACAGCTATCAAACAGCCTCAAATATCTGGTCGGGTCAGATTTTTTTATCCACTTAAGATAAAGTTCATGAGGATATCTGGAGCCTTAAATATACAGATGACTACTTTTTAAGCATATAACAAGAGACAATCTAATATCTATATATTTGTGAGGTATATAAGGCCTATAGAAGTTTTCATTTGCAAAAACCAGGAATAACGAGGAGAGCAAAATATGAGGCCAACAGTGCTTGGGTATCTAACACCTTGCCTCATGTCTGTAGAGAGAAGCCAGGAGCAGACTCAATACTGACCTGTGTGCTGCCGGCGGTGTTTGGTGAGGGCGTGCCGGGTTCCACCGGCAAAGCCGCAGAGGTCACAGAGAAACGACTTCTCGCCTGTTGCAACAATAAACAGATGAGGGACTGCGGAGGTCACAGATCATTAAAACATATCTATCAAGCCTTTCAGGGTTACTAATTCCTCCAATCAAATGTTTCCATGTAAATATGTCAAATGGGAATGAAATTACCACTGCGGTTTATTGACTGTGATAAAATCTGAAAAGCACCACTGAACATAATTACATACTTGTCAGACCCATAAAAATTAGCTTTATTATCAATGGAATGGTTTTGTACAACTTCATTTCTAGTAGATGTCTTCCAGATGGGGCTGCTTTATGCACTTGAACAGTTTTTATGCATATCCTGATTTTTTACAATTCCCATACATCTGGCCTTTCTGAGCTGAGTAAAGATTGCTTGGAATAGTTAATATACAGTATATAGAACTCTGCTTAAATAAAATATATTGAATTTTTTAACAACCTAAGAACACTGAATTGGTTTTACTTGATTCTATCAGGATCTTCCTTAATCACCTTACACTTAATAATTTGAAATAAATGGTTTCTTTGAACAGAATGAGGATGCAAAGGAAATGAAACTCACGTTACTTAGTACCAGGAGACACACGCTGTTTGTGTTTCTTGAATTTTATGGTATAAAAAAGAAGTCTAGGGATTGGTTAAAAAAAAAAAAATCTATAAAAATTCGTATCCCTCATCTTCAGAGATAGCTCTGGACTGGAAACTTCTGCAGAATCAAAGGCATGTTTGGCAAACGTGGGCTTGCTAAGTGTGCAAAGCATTTTACCCATGCTGACTTCTTGGCCTATAGCGTCTATAAGGACTACATGTCATTCTACTGTAGTATATTTAGCCAACAAGACAATTCATCCCATAGACTCACAATGAAGGGCAAAACAGAATAAAAATGGAGAAATTAATCAAATTGTAAAAGACTTTCCCAGAAATAAAGAAAATCATTTGTATCCATCTTTATTGACTTCAGTCACTCAAACTTTAAAGTGACAAGTTCCCCATAATAGGCCTGCTATATTGCATGTCCGGGGTTTCACAACAAATTTAGTTGGCAATGCATCTGCAAATAATAACTGTATCTCTAAGGTTAAAATAACAAAACAAAAAAATGACTGTAGCAATTAAAGAGCAGCCCTTCCCTTAAGAGTGTTTCCAGTTTTCCAAACTTAAAGGAAGACAAGAGGAAGGCCTTAGACAGAATGTGTCCACTTTTATTTCCAAAGAGATGTTCAGATGGCCAATATCATTCAAAACACAAAGTTAAAAAAATGCTTTTGCTATCCTTACTATCCTACTTTGAGGGTCACTGATTCCTTGATATCATTCTTTCCATATAGGAAAAATAGATTAGATGGGCTGTGAAGAATAAAGTTTAATTATAACCACTCATCTAATTATTTAATCAATTTAAAATATAAATCTTTTTAACTAGCTGTAATATCAATTAAATAACATGGAAGTAGCCCTTTTTAACTAAAAAACCAATTTGTTTCTAAATATTAGCATTTTTCGTTTGTTTGTTTTTTTCAAGACAGAGTTTTTCTGCGTACCTTTGAAGCCTGTCCTGGATCTCGCTCCGTAGACCAGGCTGGCTCCGAACTCACAGAGATCTGCCTGGCTCTGCCTCCCGAGTGCTGGGACTAAAGGCATGCACCACCACCGCCCAGCATATTAGCATTTTTTTTTTAAATGTGGAGGTAAAACTCTTTTCTACAATTTATGCCTCACCAGTTTTACATGTAGTGCAGAAAACAGCTGTTCTTATGCATGCACAGGGGCATAAGGACTATAGTGCAGAAATGTGTTTGTGCCCTGTGCACACATGCACATGCATGCTGTGAAGGGGAGTAAATATGTCTAAGGAAGAGCGAGCATCCCCCATTCTAGATAAGCATGCTGCCATCCTTCCATTTACAAAATCTTTGTGACCTATTTCTTTCTTGCAAAACAAATGTATTAACAAACACAGGAGGAAAATAGCAGAATTTAACATTCTCTACATGTGTTCATGCTGCACACATTAAGGTCTACTCTTTTCCTGTTTATGGTATACACACATGAAAAGACTAAATTATTCATTTTCCGGATGATTTGATTCTAGAAACATTAGTAACCTTGATTTTTCCATGTGTAGGAGTTTATCTAAGCTGGTAGTCTCAGATGTACTGTATGTCATATTTACCTTGGTAGCTTGATTTGTTTTCAAATTCAATTTTTACTTGCTTTTTTTTTTTTTTAAGAGATAGAGTGGAGGGGGGTAAGTGTTGAACAGTGGGCCAAGAGTATTTTTTGAGAAAAGAAATTAAAGAAAAACTCAATGAGATACTTTACTCAACCAAGAAGGGGTTCTTTTAACGTATCATATTTAAATGATAACAGAGATTTAATGGAAGACTTCTTTTAATAACAACTTGAATTAGTTTCAAGTGTGCCATTTTGCATTCAAACGTAGAAAGACACGGAACCGATCCTTTATTTTCTATTAGAAAACAGCCACTGTCCCCTATCTCTCATTATGGTGCAGACTACAAGACCTAACAACAAAAATCCATAGTATTGATCCAGCCAAGTCTCCACAATTATTCTTTAGAAGGAAACGCCGACGATAAATTACATCTGCACTGGCTTTTCATCTGCTGTTCGATATAAGTGATCTCTCAGGGCAGGCTGGAGACCTTAAATCGTCAACACCCTTGTCAAGGAAGCTAAGGAGGCCTGGGCTTCCCACAAACTGCTTCAGGAGAACTTTCAACCTATAATTTCTAACAATAATACAGGATTCACAACAATCAGAAGAACGTTTCTGAATGCTGATTAAAATTTATTATTTTTTCCTAGAGGGACTATATTCCGAGTAGTGCAAAGAGAAAGAAGGCCACAAAAATACTGAATAGCTGACAGTACCAGATAGTGATATGAGGTGAATACTCAAACAGAAGATCACCATGAAGCATTGGGCCCACTGTACTAAGATTATGAAAAGCCTATCATACACTAAGCACCTGACCATAGGATATGATGGGGTATGCGTTAATAACGGTCCCAGCTGAGCAGCCTCAGAACCATACTCCACAGACAGAACCTCCAGATGGCTAAGTTATATTACACATGATTATTTTTAATGTGTTCATGCAAACTTTATGTGAATGTGAGTTTTTTAAAAACAGTTTTCTGAAGACACCTAGTAATTCAATTCAGATTAGCCTCTGAGTTTTAAGAATGATTCTTTCCTAAAGAGAGATACTCTATAGCTTCTACTTAGAAAATGGTACATAAAACTAAGATTCAGTATGTTTAAAAGTTAGGGATTTAGATTATATCTACAACGAAATAGAAGACCAGTTCTCTTTAAGAAAACAATGTGCCAGTGTGATGAGGGTGGCATCTATGAAGCTAAGTGTGAACATAAACACTAGAAATGAGCTGTCAAATCTGAAGCTGTACTGCTTAAACACATGCACACACACACAAAACTCATACTAAATTGTCACATTAAAGACACTCTAACCAACACTGCAAAAGAAAGAATAAAAAACATTTTCATGTGCAATTCCCATTACCTTAATTTCAAATACAATTACCATGATCTCTGCAAGGAAGTCATGTTTAACACTGGTTGCTATCAAGAAAACCATTCAACTCATATGAGTACATGTTCCTCAAGCCCATCATGCCTCCTTGGCCCAGTCCCTCATTAAGAAGGGATGTGACACACCTGTGTGCGTCCTGTAGTGGTCTTTCATAGCTGAGGCCGTGAGGAATGAGTAGTGACATGTAGGCCAGGTGCACTTAAAAGGCTTTTCTCCCGTGTGGAGTTTCATGTGGTTGTTCAAGGCCCACTTCTCGGTGAAGCTTCTATCACATAAGTGGCATGTAAATTTCCTGCATGAAGGAGAGAAAAAACAACATAAATTTGACCTGCACACTCACATCTATGACTCCAGATGGAGTGTGTGGTAACCCTCTAGTGTGGCGCACACACAGCATCTGCAAAGAGAACTGCAGGCTGGGTCTGTCATGTCTGTATAACCAGGCATTGATTTTTCTGTCGAGGCCTGGCACTTCAGCCATTTATTCTCTGCTTTGCGGTTGGGCCCAACGGGTTTGAAAAATTCTGTTACAGTCCAGTCACCCCTGAGGCAAAAGTGAGAATAGATTTCACCTGTACAGGCCTACACCACTTATCCAGGGCATGGGCTGTCAGAGCAAAGGCTAAATGAAATGCTATCCATACTCAAGCACTCAGACAAGCTCTGCTGTCTGCCAGGAGGGCGGCTGGGCTGCTAGAACAGTGACTCCTGAGAGCAGCCCCACAGGCAGCCCTGAATTACCATGCTCCTGGGGGTGAAAGGGAGACCCCCCACACACAAAATGGTTACTGATTGAAAGGTCCCTCTGGGTTGTTGACATGAGTACATAAAAAAGTTTTCTTTGACAAAAATAAGTCTGCAGTCATACTACTCCAAACACGCTCCATCTCCTCTGATCTCAGAAGTGAAGCACGGTCAGGCCTGCACAGAACTTAGACAGCAGACAAAAATTAAACATTACAACCACATTTTTCTAAAATGAGACTGAGAAAGAGAAAATACAATTACCTCCTGTACAAAAACAAATCTAAAAACAGCAAGTCAATATCTCTTTAAGAAAATATTTCAAATTTGTACTCCAGTTTTAAATCTTCCAGTACCCTAGAGGTATAGACTGAGAGCCATGAGCATGTCCATACCTCCTCTGCCCATTCCACGAGCAGTTATGAATTCATCACTAAAATTTACTTCCTATTTCTGATGCAATTGAGTCTCAAGTATTTCTGTGAACAATAGTGCTCAACAAATTAATTCAGGATAATGAACAAATAAGACATTTTTCTTAAAAGTTAAAATTAAAATTATACAATTGTAGAAAGCTGATAAACATTATACCAGACAACAGAGATCCAAGCAGTCTGGAGAAAAACGTAAGATTCTAATGGTCCATTATCAATATGGGGCCATAGAAAAACGTATACTTTCACATAAAGTCATTAGCCATGATTTTCAGCAATTCCTAAGTTTTGTCAGGAGAGGAAAAGAATCCTAAGCTATAAACAGCCAGCCTTTTAATTTGGTGTTAAATGCAGATTACTTTAATAAATCACTGGAGTTCCATAAACTCTGGGAATCTAGTTATAAATCACCAGCTTTCTTTACTACATACATTTACAAAGTAATGTTGTAGATGTAAAGTAAGTAAAAAATACCAAATATTTGAGTAACGGCATAGCATATCTGAGGGGCTTCATCAATAGCCAACTGTTAGTTTCTCTCTCCTATCACACATGTGAGGAGACACTGTCTGGCCAGCAAACACGGCTGACTGTGAAATCACTGTATCATTTGATCATTGCTGACTCGTTCTAGAGAATGACATATATAACTAAATACCTTGAAATGCACTGCAAAAAATATCATGTCCGTATATCTCTTTGACGGGTCTTCACGCATTTAGCATTTCAAAACCATGACAGGGATCTTATTTCCAAGATAAATTCCCCTATCTACTTATTTCTCCATGTATTTATTGTGGAACTAACCTTCTCTTACAAGAAATAAATAAGGAGGTTAAGTAGATGCTATCTTTAACAAATAGTTTCTCCAGACTGTATTACAACTTTATGAATGACAAAATAAATCCCTCAGTTTTAAATCTACCATGATGTACATTTAACAAAATTACATCTACACAACCTCAATGTGCACTGTCTATTATTCATACATAATAAAAATGTTAGACTAAAGCTCAGTGCCTGTCCAGAAAGGACAAAAGCCAGATTTTTTAAAAAAAGGAACTAAAACTACCTCTGGACTTTCTAGAAACTCTGCATTCTACAATCCTCTTTATGAAAACAAGGAAGTTCAGCCACTGGGCAAATGAAAGAATGTAAGCATTGCCAGCCTAGGCTACACTTACAAAGACTGAGACCTATTTGGAAGCCTGCTGTCTCCTGGAATGTCATGAACTCTGTGTCAAATTTTCCAGGATGACTTGTTTTAGGTCAGCTTAATGTCAGTGAAGACGGTGGCCTCTGAAGGACCCTTGCTCTCTGTCGACCCCTCAGGAAGCACATGCAGGAGAGCAGAAACTGCTCAGCAGCACAGACCTGAAACTGAAGGACTGCAGGGTGCATTCAGGAAGCCTCTTACAAAGACCTGCCATCTTGCTACTCTATGAACACTGCTCTGGAGAGTACAGAGAAATCAGAAAAAGAGGAAGATTTGGGTGTAAAGAAAATCTGGCGATAAGGGAGAAAAACCATTCAGAAAAGTAAACTCCATGTAAAAAGCCATTAGAGAAAAGAAATGCGAGCAAGTGATAGGACTGATCGGAGGGGCATGTCACTCAGACACTGAAAGACAGATGACAGCTGGAAACAGAGATACCTGAGGGAGAAGGCCAGCAACAGGAAGTGCAGGAAAAGGTGTGAGAGAGCCCTGAAGGCACACACAGGTACAACACACACACAGCCCGCTGTCCTCCCAATCCCTCCACACACCAGAGCTTAGAGAGGGCGGAATGAAGCATGGATGCTTTGCTATGTGGGCTTACAGGAGAGATACAGGACTGAGGCAGTAGACTGGCAGTCAGTAGGAAGATGGATAAAGGTGAGTAACTGGTCCTTACACACAGGTTACAACAGGAAGGAAGCGGTACAGGAGCACAGGAGACAAAGACTATATCCGCTTCACCCTCTGAAGGTGGAAAGACAACGCAGGAGTGGCGTGGGGATTTAAGGGAAGTCAATTCAAACACAGACTAGAAATGTATTGCCTTTAGCAATCCCTGTGAAAACATACATCTGCACTCTGAAGTTCTTAGGTGAGAAATCTACGATGCTAAAACTATCTGCAATTAAGTTCTTGACGTAGTGGGTAACAGTGAACTGAAAGTCCATTAAGGGCTCATTGGTACAAACTTACAATGATGCTGAAATGGAACAGGGGTTCCTAAACACTTTTCTAGTGTTCTGGTGCAGCTAGAGGCCTGTTCACTACTCAGCACTGTGTGTGACGTTCCCTTAGCTCTCCTGCTGAAATAGGGGGAAGGCTCTGGTCCCATCTGCTACACCAAGAGAGCACAGCAAAGGAAAGGGGTTGGCGTGTACCCACAGACTTCTGTCAATGGTTTCTACTGTGTGATTTGTGTTAACTGAACCAAGAGGAAAGTCTACACTTCAACACTTCAACTGAACAGGGGATACTAACTAGTCTCATTATCAGCTATACAAGAAAAACTAAATTTCTCATTGGGATGCATCTTGTACAAAGTTAAAGAATAGTGTGAGCTAAAATGTGTTATGCAACTAACCTTTACATGTGTTTTGACCTTATACAATTTTTGAGCATTTACTTGGTTCTGAATGGCTAAACAGGAGAAATGTTATATCAAAAATGAAATTTGAACTCTGAATTACTTCTATAACTTTCCAAAATACAAGAGTCAGAATTCTAAAAGAAATTTTAGATTCATTTTCTTCAGATTAAAATTTTAAATGCTATTAAAAATTTAAATTCCAAGTTAGTAGATTTTGATTATTAGAAACTTAATAAAAATGTACATACATCCCATTTCTGAATGAAGATAAAAGTGTCTTGAAAATCCAACTTTATTACCTGACATTATAAAACAGATAAGAGGCCTAGTGGTGGTGGCACATTCCTTTAATCCCAGCACTCAGGAGTTCAAGGTCAGCCTGGTCTACTGAGTGAGTTCCAGGACAGCCAAGGCTACACAAAGAAACCCTGTCTTGAACTTCCCTTCCCACCCCCACTCCCACCCCCCAAAAAACAGATAAGAAGACCACTGTTATTTTTTTCTGATGTTTTGAATCTGTTCCATTCATGATAATCTTGCAATGCTTGAGCAGTACTTAATTTAATATTGAGCTTGTTCTAACCCTAATTTTATACTGGAGAATCTGGTCAGGCATATACCATTGAGACATACTTGTATACATAAAGTTATACTAAAAAAATTCCTCTATTCTAGTTTCAACAGCCTTAAGGGGAGCGTTAGGTTTAATCATAAAATGGACTATCATTATGGTATGAAAATGAATAAACTTGGCCATACTTATCAACATAGGTTTAAAAATCTCAATGGTACACCTACAAGAAGAACAAGTAAAAGATGCTGGAAGGATGGCTCAGTGATTAAGAGCATTTGCCGCTCTGCAGAGAACTTGGGTTCAGTTTCCATGACCAACATGGTGGTTCACAAAAATCCATAACTGCAGCTCCAGGGGATCTGATGACTTTGTCTGACCTACACAAGTACCAGGCTCACAAATGGTACTCACACATGGTACACACACACACACACACACACACACACACACACACACACACACACGCACATATGATGCTGGCAAAACACTCATACTCATAAAACAAATTATTTTTTAAAAATTAAAAAAATAAAAGTTGTACTATTTGCATAAAATTTGACAAATGAAGCTTCTATGCACAAATGTCTATGACACACTAATTTGACACTGCTTCTTGCTGGCATGGAGAAAGGAAGGAATAGGAAGGTGGTAGAACACAACTATATATCTAACTCTTGTTTATCAAAAGAAAAGAATCTGGAGTAAAAAGACGACAGTAGCATCTTCCAAAGCATGTCCTGTACTTCCAAATTTTTTACAATTTACATTGAGCATTTAATAAAACAATAAAACAATAATTCTTATTTCTCTACATGATACCTTGGTGTGATCCAGTCAAATTAACAAATACTACAAACACATTTACTAGAAACACAAGAGAAAGGAAGACTGGGTGAGACACATCTGAGTTTAAAGAAGAGTAAGCTAAATTCCAGTGTAATAAAAACTATTCAGT